CCCTGCCCCATCTGTTTCCCCCCACCCCTTCCTGTGGGAACTGAGGGATCCCTCCTGCCCCCCTTGGCCAGCTCACCCCGGGCCCCCAGCGTGGCCCCTTGGTCACCCAGCAGATCTCGGTCTGGCAGACAGTGCAGCGGATCCAGTCGCATCCGTCCTTCTTCTGGACAATGATCAGGCACGTGGGGCAGTGCATGGCCTCCCCAAGCTGCACCAGGGTCTGCGGAGGGGTAGAGGGGGCTCAGGGGTGAGCTGTGCTCAGGGTGAGAGGAGAGGTGGCCATGAAGGATGCAGGGACTTGACCCAGCCCCTGCCACCGCCACCAGCCCCCTGGGACCCCCACCTGCAGCATGTCGTTGGTCTGCCGGGCAGCCGAGTCGTTCTGTGCCTGGACCCGGAGGTCATCCTGGTACTGGCGGCAGTTCTTCCCTTCGTGGATGGCCTAGGGAGTGCAGGGGGGGCACAGCTCAGCACTGCTGCCCCTGTGCAGCACCGCGATGCCTGTGCGGAGCTGGGGCTCACCTTGCAGAGGAGGCAGTTGAGGGCCTGGCAGATGGGGCAGCGGAACTCGTTGACTGAATCCTCGTAGATGCACCAGCCACGGCAGTCAGTGGTCTTGCAGTGGAAGCTGTTGTGGCTGCGCCGCTCGGCCAGCACCAGGCTCCTCTCCAGGAACCGCCGGTACTCCTCTGGCGACACCAGCTGTGTGGGCGGGCCAGGTGGTTAGGTTGTGGCCCCAGGATCCCCCCAGTGCCACCAGCACCGCACCTGGACAGACTCACCGCCCGGATCTCCCGCTCCTGGAGGTGGCTGCCGCAGGCATAGGAGTCGTCACGGAAGGGACAGGCCACCTGTGGCTCCTCACTGTAGTTGATCACCTGGCGCAGACACTCCCTGTGGGAACAAGCAGCTGTCACTGTGAGGGTGGGGGTCTCGGGGCTGATCACCACAAGAGATGAGGATAGGCTTGGGGCTGGGGGGTCTCAGAGCTGGTCACTTGTGAGGGCTGGGGGTCGTCTCAGGGTTGGTCACCATAATGGTGGAGAACCCAGAGCTGGTCATCATAAGGGCTGGGGAGGGTCTAATGGCCAGTCACCACAAGGGTGGGGAGCTTGGGGACAGTCACTGTGAGGGTGTCAGGGGGTCTTGGGGCTGGTCACCATGATGGCCAGGGAGGCTGTGAGGGCAGGTCACCACAAGGGCTGGGGGAAGGGGGTGGTGTCTCAGGGCTGGTCACCCTAAGGGCTGAGGTTGGTCGGGGTCTTGGAAGCCAGTCACCACAAGAGCCAGGGGGTCCCGGAGCTGGAGGGGCTCAGGGCAGTACCTGCAGAAGTTGTGCAGACACTCGCGCAGCAGCACCCCCTCGCCCGGGGCCACCTGCTGGTAGCAGATGCGACATTCCAGCACGTCCCGGTTGGGCACCAGCACCTCCTGTTCCGCCTGCAGCAGCTGCTGGAAGTTCCGAAGCCGCTCGGCCTCCAGTGCCTGCCGGCCAGGGA